TATATTGGGTACTAATTGATGTATTTTATTATACTTTAAACCATCAAAGAACTTCTAATTATCTCACTTTTTCCTCTTTTATGAGTTCCGGTCCTGAGATCTCTGTATTCTATTGCAATCGCTGTATGTGGGTGTTTGTGCTCAGATGAGTTGATTTACTAACAATTCAAGTGTTTAGAGTCAGCTTTAGTCATCCAGTCATATGTAAAGGATTTTTTTTTTTCTTTTAATGCACATAATGGGGTATTAAGTGAAGTGAACACTGGTTCATCTAGCAAAGTAAATATTCTACTTTAATAAATGGACCCCCCAAATCCTTGGTGTACACAAAATGATTATGCCTGCTCTCCTCTAACCAAAGATGTAGAGGAAGTGTCTGCTTTCAAGAAATGCACTCAGAAGTATTGCTGATAGGGATGTTCAGATACCAGTTCAAATACTTGGCATTTTCACAGCCCCACAGCAAGGGCTAATTTTGTACATACCCAAGTTCTTGTTTGAGATATACCTCTTAGCAATCAGTAGCAGTTAATACATCCTTTTTTACCCATAACTGTGTTTTTTGGGGGGTTATTCACTAGGATACAGGCTTAGCTTTGGCTGATCCTTCAGCTCTCTTCAGCCGCCTCTGCCCTTCGGTTGAGTCGAACCCAAGGGCTGCTGTAAGGACTATTCACAATAGCCCATACAGCAGCCGAAGGCAGCCGAGTGGCTCAGGTATGCCGAAAGAATATGCTTTGGCTCGACTGAGCCGAAGTGGCAGCTGAAGAAGGGCGAATGGCCTGCCGAAGGGCCAGCCGTTCTCCCAGCAAATGACAGCTGTGAAGTCTGTACACAATTTTGGTCTAATTTAACCAGTTTCCTTTACCCTTTCGATAGCCAATAACTATAGTATACATCATGGCAAGAAAAGGGTTAAGAGAAGCTCATGGCTGGACTTGTTTTAAAATGGCTCACATGACTCTGCTCTTTCATGGAGAAGTGATCTGGGTGGCTGTACAGCCACCCGATCACTTCTACATGCCTCCCCCAAAGACTGCCCCACCGCCATGGTCCTGGGCTTGCCTTACCCTGAGGATGGTGAGCGGCAGGGAATCAGGTAAGGTTTGTTCCCCAATCTCCTCAGCAATGACTGACACTGGAAGCTTTCTGTACTTCTGCATTCAGAGGTGTCAAATTCTGGCAGGTAGTGGCCAGGCAAGCAGCAGATCGGACACTCACTATCACCGATCTGTTTGAGCTGAGTGCAGCTGAGTGAATCTGTCTTGTGATAGTAAATAAATGAAGTTAGCAAATTGTAAAAATAAGTTTAAACGCGATAAAATCTCATAAAATAAACCTGGGGCACACATGTGTACGTAAAGCTGATCGCACACACATTCATATTCGCTATCGCCCACACACACTGAAGTGAGAAGAGTAACACTAGGGCCATCATTTATGGTTATCTCTAAAATGATGAGCTGGAAAAGGTTTTAAGGCATCGCCTATGTATTATTTTGGGTATTGGTATTTTTTTCTGTTTTCGAGGCTTGACATTTGACTTTTTACAATCTTATCTTTTATATTTCACAACATTGAAATTCATCAGTTGAATGTATATATCATGTGCAATACAATTTTGTAAATTTTTCAATCAAACATGAATATTGTGCCGCCCCAACGGGGCATAGAATATGAGATGCATAGCCTCAGTTAATATTAGCATTGTTTTAGATAGAGTTATTATAGTGTGTTTTTGCCTAACTATTTTCCCCATAGCAAATCCTATGCTGCCATCTAGTGGCCTTTGTGATATCACACATGTCTTTTCTGTATTTCTGTTCCCCATGTGACGACATATTTCCAGTCTATGTATGCCCCTCCCTTCTTCCTGTGTGCAGTACTTCCTGTGTCATGGCCACAGTTAAGAGCCACATGTAACAAGGACACACATGTGATCTGCACAGTACGTAGGAAAGGCATCATTTTCTGACCGCACAATACTATAACCGTTCAACTGCTGTTCCTATCATCTGCTGTAACCTGATGTTAAAGAATAAACACCTCTTTTGAATGAATCGGTATTGACGAGTTCAGCTATCTGACGAGGATTGTCCGCAGTGAGTATATCTGCTTATACAGGCCAGGCATAGAGGTCTCAGCAAGGGATATATTTCGCTATCACAACGATCGGAGTCAGAATAAATATTTTTCAGAGTCCTCCTAACTGTCTTGTCTTGAATTATATTGTAACTGTAATGTCTTCTTTATACTGCATTGTAAAGCGCTGTGCAAACTGTTGGTGCTATAGTGTATAAATCCTGTTTAACCACTTTAGGACCACCGTACATCTGTATATAAATTCGCATTGAAGTGGATATACCAGACATGCCAACTCTCCCGGACGTTCCGGGAGTCTCCCGCTATTAGATAGCGGCTCCCGGACCCCCAGGAGAGAAACATTTTCTGCTGGAAAGGTTTACTCTGCTTGATCTAGCAGAGTAAACCTTTCCCTGCTGCTTTTTTTCTTTCTGACATCGGGGCCGCTGACCACAGTCAGTCAGAGAAAAAAAAACAGCATAGGAATGATTAGCTAGGCTTCTATTGGCTATTGTAATTTGCAATAGCTGACTAGCTATTGCACCCGCCCACTGCTGCTATCAATCAGCAGAGCTGGACTTCCATCAGGTCCTCCTCTGTTGATTGACAGCAGCAGAGGGCGGGTGCAATAGCCAGCTTGCTATTGGCTATTGCAGATTGAACTGGCCAATAGCAATCTAACTATTCTTTCCTATGCTTTTTTTTTTTATTCTGATGAAAAAAAACCCAACAGATTCTGATGAAAAAAAACAACAGATAGCAAGGAAGCAATAGCTTCCTTGCTATCTGCCATCACTTCAGGGGGCACCTCCCTGAAATGAGAAGGGCACCTCCCTGAATTTCCTTTTTTCAGGTTGGGATCCCTGTTATACTAAGATCATGGCTGCTGCAGCCATGATCTTGGTATTGTTTTTTTTCAGCAGACGGGACTCGTTCTTTACAAGTTGCCCAAATCACTTGTAGCAGTCTGCAAGGGTGGTGCCCCCCACCATGGTTTTGGAGTCCCCCACTCCTCTGGAGGACCCAGGACCACAGAAAATGCAGTCAGGATTGAGAGCAGGAGCAGGAGCAGACCGCGGAACGTCAGTCCGTGATCGGTGAGGCAGGAAGTGGTGTACTTAGAGTGCTTCCTGCTCACAGCTGTCACAAAGCCAAATAAAGTGCTGGTCACACAGGGGATCGGGCACAATGCTGTGCTTGATCCACTGTATTGGAGGGCAGGTAAGACATCAGGGGTCTAGTCAACCCCTGAGGTCTCCATAAAGAGAACATGCCACCTCCAAACGCTATCACATGTGTGTGATAGCAATAAAGTTAAGTGTGAAAAAAAATTAAGAAAGTGACAAAAAGTAAAGAATAATTCAAAAAATAACCTAAATTATAGTAAAACCAACCCCGCCGCCCCCACCATCTGCATGCGAATGAACGTAAATGACAATTGTGCCACACGTTAGGTATCACCACGAATATCGGAGTAAGAGAAATAATTCTAATTTGCTGTTAACTCTAAACTGATGAGCGATAAAGTCTTTTGAATACCATAGTTTTTTGCCATTGCATGGATGCTCGCAATTTTAATGCTTGACATGCTTGGGTACTCGATGTAACCCCATCTTTTATAATCTACCAAAAAAGGGTATTAAATTGTCTTTGTGTGCACTCAAATTTAAGTGTTTTTTTCCCAAAAACATCGATTTGATAAACATTTGCGCAAATATCGGGTGAAATTAAAAAATGCAGCTGCCATTTGTTATTCTACAGAAAATGTATACTTGTTTAGGGTTTAAAGTAAATCTCTGTCCACAAAATCCAGATTTTATGTGTGCAAAAATTTAGGGACGCACGATATTAGTATCGGTATCTAAGCCGAGTACTCGTACTCGCCTAAATGCACCAATGCCTAGTGCGATACTTCTAGTATCAGGAAGCCGGGCAGCAAGTCATTACACGCTGCCCGGCCTCCTGATTGGTCGGGAAGCCGGCTCCATGCTCCCTCATCACTTGTGACGAGAGAGCATGGAGCCGGCTTCCCGGCCAATCAGGAAGCCGGACAGCATGTAATGACTTGCTGCCCGGCTTCCTGATTTGTCGGGAAGCTGGCCAATCAGGAAGCCAGGCGCGGTGTAATGATGTTGCGCCTGACTTTCTGATTGGCCAGGAAACCGGCTTCATGCTCCCTTGTCACCTAATGACGAGGGAGCATGGAGCCGGCTTCCCGGCCAATCAGGAAGCTGGGCATCGCGTCATTACATGGCACTCGGCTTCCTGATTGGCCAGAAAGCCGGCTCCATGGTTTCTCTTCACCTAGTGACGAGAAGCATGGGGTTGGCTTCCCTGCTAATCGGGAAGCCGGGTGGCGAGTCTTTACACGCCGTCCAGCTTCCCGGCTAAACAGGAAGCCAGGTGGTGAGTCATTACACGCCGCTTGCTTCCTGAATGGGACTTCCGGGAATCGGTATTTGCTATTACCGGAAAATAATATATCGGTACTCGATACTGAAATACCGGTATCGGTGCATCCTTACAAAATTGCTCTGGTAAGTAGGTGGTTACTTTTTTTTTTTTTTATTCCATGTGTGTGAAAATTTGAAAAACCGGTCTTGTAGAAAAGGGTTCAATAAGATAAAAGTGCCATAGCTGCTTCTAGTAACACATTGGAGGTCCTGAGAGTCACTTTAGTCATGAATAAGCCTCCATGAGTTTAGTGACAGAAGCAGCACCCTCATCAGGCTTTGCTATGCACACACACATACCACACAGATGTCGGCTGGAAGATAGATAACAGAAAGTGCTGGTCTTCCACAAAATGGCTGCCATAATGCATGACACATTCCTTACACTCTAGTGACCAACCAGGAAACCTGAGATCGCACGTGACAGGAAGAGATCGCTGCAGGGTTCGGTTGTCATGGTGACGCACAAGCTGTAGGATTTTGACGTTCGGCATCCGGTTTTGCGCTACCATGGGAGAAAGCGGGGACAATTCTTATATTATTCGCCCGAACTTCCAGCATAAGTAAGTGTAGTTGGCTCCCTAACGTGGATGGCGTGATCGTGCTGGAGCATGGATGGCTGATGGTTTACCTTTATTTCACTGTTTGTTTCCTTTGCTATTTCAGATTCATATTTCTCATGTTCAGGTGCCTATTTCTGAAGGGTAGTGACAAACTTGTATTTCCCCTGAAATGTGCCTTTATTCAGAACTTCGAAGCTGTAAAATAAAAAAGCTTTTTATTTTCCCATGCCATATATACCGCATTCTTGTCGTCTGTATTCAGATCGCATGTATTGTAAGACATAAGCAAATAAGGGGTTAAAGTGACATAAATCCCAACTTCAAGTTTTTTTAAAATCTCTTTCATTTCACTATGTTATAAAAAAAACACCTTGAAAGCAGTACTCCAGTGCTGCAATCCTCCTCCAGTCCCAGCCAGTCATCCAGCATCATTCAGTCCACTTTGAGCCCAGGGTGTCAAGGACACATCATCAAGGCTCCCTGGACTCACAGGAGACCAATGAATGTCACATGCTAGAGAGGCTGCCGCGCTGGGAAGGAAGGAGAAACGGGCTAGTGGAAAGGTAAGAGCACTGGGGGGAATTTATCAAAACTGAAACAGACTCTGGAGCAGTTGCCCATAGTAACCAATCAGCTTCTCTCTTCACTTTGTTCAGTTAAAGAAGGACTCTGAAGAAAAAAAGCATCAACCCTTGCAGTGGGGTTACCCACGTTTGTGTCTAGGTGCTAAGAAATAAATGTTATACTCACCCAGTCATTTAAGCCAGCTTGTTCTTAGACCAGTCCCTAGAGCCTCTCTCCCCCTCTGCTGCTGCACCGTCATCACGCTTTATAAAAGTGTTTAGACATGAGGATGCTGAGGAACATTCCATCTGTGTAGCGGAGGAAGAGACAGGCTTCAGTGACTGGAAAAGCAGGGAGTTGGCTCGGCAGTTAGACACCCAGACAAAACCGAGCAGCTAACTCCCCTAGAGTTCTTCTTTAAGCTTTGAAAGTGAGAGAGAGAAACTGATTGGTTGCTATGCACAACTGCTCCAGATTCTGTCTGCTCCAGTTCTGTTAAACCCCCCTCTTTGTGTCTTCTATTGAAGTAACCTGATGGTTTTACAGCTCTAGAAACTTGACAGGGGCTCCAGGTTGCTCTTACATTTTACTCACCTACCCTCTCCAGTGTTGACATCTTAACCCAGTTTTTTTCCCGGTGTGGGATCTTTGGCCATCCTGATTGGCCAGGCCAGAATGACATAACTCCTGTGCATGTGCACAGGAGTTATATAATTTCAGCATCAAGGTGTGCCGAGAATGTATACAGTGTACAGGTAGGCTTGTTTTACTGCAGAAGTGACATAGCATGTGTCTTCTGCAATAAAGAGTCTGCATTGGAACCAGTAGAGCATTGCAACCACAATAAGTAGACAGCAGGTGCAATGCTCTGCCTCCTGCACACTCCTCCCATCCATATACCAACCTTAGTATGGACATTCAGTAACATGGACGGGGGGATAAATGAATGGACTACAAGTGTGGTGATATCACCGCGCTTATATTCCATTGAGAACTTCAAGTCTCTCTGCCACGGTAGCTAATTGGATTTGTAGTTTCTCCATTCACAATGGCAGTCAAAAGATGTATAAATGAATGATGTGGCTGTTTGGGCAAAGCCATGCATAGCCGCACCGAACTGAACAAAAAAAAATGGCACATCTGATCCCACGGTGTCTGCATGCGGGTGCACGCGTCCATAGACTTACCTTGTGTCTCTCCTCGCGTCCCGGACGAAAATGTGAACTGCGCATGCGCGCGCCCCCAAGATGCTTTGCGGACGCCCGAGAATTTTCACATTTTCGGACGGGAGCGCGCAGGGAAGACACAGGTAAGTATTAACCCTTTTCAAAGCAGGTTTTTTTTTACACTTTTCGCATATAGCTACTGCTTGCTAGCAGTAGCTATATGCAAAAAAAAAAACAGAGAGTTTAATAACCCTTTAAGCAGAAATACATTTTATTTATTTTTTTAATTCTTATTTTACTTTGAAGGTTTCGTTAACCGATGTTATATGCAGACGAAAGATCGCAACTTTGATCTACATATTAATGAAATAGTACATTCAATGAAACAATAGATTGTTACATTGTATTTTTTATTTTTCATAATGCAGTCTCTCCTGTGTGAAATAGTCTGATAGTCAGATAGTCTGCCAGTGTCATTTTACACAGGAGAGACTGCATTATAACAGCCACTAATGCCATGTAATAGAAAGCCATTTCTGGCTGCCGTTTTGACAGCTGGTAATTGTTGGTAATAGAGGCAGCAAGAGCACATGAGGAGGACATAAGAGATGTTTCCTTAGCTGGTCATACATCATACAATTATCTGCAGATTTTCTGGGGTCAGATGGAAAAGGTTCAACAGATTCCTCTATCTACACTTAACTGTGTGAATGGAGTAATCTCCACCTGGGCCAATCTGTTGCACTTTTTCCATCTGACCACAGAAAGTCTGCAGATAATTGTAAGGTGTATGGCCAGCTTTACAAAGTTTTTTAAAACGTTTCCCTTCTGTTCAAAACCCTCAAGTGATCATTTCTAAAACAAACACGAAACATAAGTATCACATAACTAGTTTACACTATTGCAATGTTTCCACCATGTTCAATTACTTTGAATGCATTTTATTGGTAACACCAGACCACATTTTTCTTCTTCTCAGATTTAGAACTGCGACAGTAAAGGACTGCATCCGATCCGTCTTGAAGGAAGAACTCAAAAGCAAACAGTATATTCCAGAGGAGGTTCCACAGCTGACTCGGTTTTTGTCAGAGACAATAAAGGATAAACTGAAAGGTATTGGAAAGAAGAATCAGCATATTCAATGTAAACTGTACAAACTCTGATCATATGATCTCTCATAATATTGTTTGTTTTTTATATTATGACCCAAATAAATCTTTGTACAAAATGCAGTAATCTAGAGCCGAGAATGTAAATCGAGATCTCACTGCACAATAATATTTACTATTTTATATTGCTTATAGTGACACTAAACCCAGGAGTTAAATCTTAAAAATGCATTTAAGTACCTTAACTACTAACAAAAGTGTATCTTATTTGTGTATCACTCAGCTTTAGATCCTTTTGTTCTTCGTGTTCCCATGTTGACAAACTTGGTTATCAGCCCTGCTTGAGTTCTGTCCGTGGGTTACAGAATACCTTCCACTATGTAATAGTGATGAGGAGAGGGTTGAGGATTTCTGTAGTTCTAGCACAATTCCTTTCCTAGGTTGACAACACTGCTTCTCCATAGACACCGTGCAGTGACTGAGCGTAGCCTTCCCAAGACAGGAAGTGTGTTACTGGCAGGATCCCCAGATGAAAATTAAAGGGAAAAAGGGCCTGAGGGCTGGTTCACACTGATACAAAACACAGAAATTCCCCAGCCTCAACCTGCCAACTAGCCTGCAACCAAACAAGTAGCCCTGTCAACAGTATGCGTTAAAATCAGAGGTTTTAGTTGCACAAACTTTTGGCCAAAAATATGTAGAAGCCACACCGCCGCGCCAAGGCAGTCTGGTTCACACTGAAGCGCATCCTGGCTGGCTTCCTGCGTACAGGGGTGGGAAGTGTGAACCGGCCCTCAAAAAAGAGATCTAAGGACTGGTAAGCTGCAGTATATTGCATTTTGTTCTTGCGCCACACAGTCCTGGAGTATTATAGGCCTAGTCTGCATAAAGATGCACCCCCAGGGGGTGTGTACAATACAGGCTGAGCTCAGAGGGAACGGACAGAAAGATGCGAGTGTTGTTCCACCCCAATAGGACTGGCACGGCTTGACAAGGAGGAGGGACCATGGAAAGTAGAAATTGTCAGTATTTGATTTTTTTTTTTCATACAAGAGGAAAAAAACTTGAATTAGACTTTAATTATCTTATTTTTCTTTTATTCTTCCACACAGAAATGGGCTTTGATAGGTATAAGATGGTGGTTCAGGTTGTGATTGGTGAACAGAGAGGCGAAGGAGTAAAGTAAGTGCGTTGGTATGTTACTACCATTCATGTTGTGTTGTCTACAGCTCACAATGTATGAAGCTTCCAAAGCTTTAGGCTTTGAAAAAATACTTTTTACTTCCAAATATAATAAAGATTTTATATAGAAGAGCACTGCACTATACATTTCCTTTAAAAGTTCAATAGGTACAGTGGATTTGTAGGTTAATGTATATTTTTATATCACTGTCACTGATAAATTCATGGTCTTTTGCACTTGGTCCCCTGATGAGATGTACTGTCCCCAGTGCTTTTTCTATGACGGTAAATCCAGGCTGCCAACTCATGGACATAAACTTGGTTACGGGGAAGTAGGACTGGGGAGGGAGATGCATCTATGTAGATTCATCTTTTACTATCCTTTTTCTCTGCCATCTACACCAAGCCTTATAAAAACTTGTTTATTTTCTTTCCCCACAGAATGGCTGCCAGGTGTTTCTGGGACGCAGATACCGATAATTATGCTGAAGAGGTTTTTATGAATGTAAGATATATCAAAATCCCCTTCTCATTTATTAAACTCTGCTCTTAGCTTTAAATCAAGTGTTTTTATAATTGGAATGGGTATGTAATGTACATTTTAAGGCTAGCCATGTTTAAAACTATTATTAAAACATCAGGTGTACCTTGGCTGCCTTAAAGTGACAGGGTCATTTGTAACCAAAGTCCAACCTGTAAAAGAAGAGCATCCATACTGACATCTTGTGTCTTCAAAGTCCACCGTTGCTCTGCTTCCTGAATTCTGCAAGTATTCCACGCTTCCAGGTGTGTAAATACCTGCTCCTCTGGCCGCACACTGTGGTTCTCTCCAGCCTGTACATCACTACACGACACACCCAGATATGTTGAATACCTGCTGCGGCCGGGAGGGGCAGCACAGCGGTAGAGTTTGAAGACACAGGCTATTTGAAAGGTTAGTATATATACTCTTCTTTTAAAGCTTGGACTTTGTTTACAAGTTACTCTGTGCTGACAGGGTCACTTTAACAGTGTTAAATAAGCACCGTATGCTTCATGTAATCTTCATCTTTCACAGAGCACCCTGCACTTACTGTTTCCCTGTCCAAGGGATGCACCGATACCGGTATCAGTATTGGTGCTGATACCGAGTATTTGGGCGAGTACTTGTACCCGCCCAAATGCTCTGATACTTATCCCAATACTGGAACTTCCGGTCAGAGGGAGATTTCCTCTGACCTGCAGTGCCGCGAGAGAACAAGGATCCAGCTTCCCGGCCAATCAAGAAGCTGGGACACGGGTAATGACTCGAGGCCTGGCTTCCTGTTTGGCCGGGAAGCCAGTTCCATGCTGATTCGTCGGCTTGATGCTGATTGGCTGGGAAGCCGACTTATCAGCCAATCAGCATTGAGCTGGCCAAACAGAAAGCTGGGCCATGGATAATGACCCGCCTCCCGGCTTCCTGATTTGCTGGGAAGCTGGCTTAATGCTGATTGGCTGGGGAGCCGCCTTCTCGGCCAATCGGCATCAAGCCGGCCAAACAGCATGGAGCGGGCCTCGGGAAGACGGGCCACGGGTGATGATTCGTGGCCCGGCTCCTTGATTGGCTGGGATGCTGGCTTCCCGGCCAATCAGCATTGAGCCAGCCATAGAGCTGACTCGATGCTAATTGGCTGGGAAGCCAGCTTTCTGGCCAAACAGCATGAATAATGACATGCTGCTCTATGCTACCGGAAGTACTGGTACTTGGTATCGGTGAGTACCGGAGTATAAATATTGGTACTCAATACCGAAAACATGGTATTGGTGCATCCCCACCCTATGCCATAGCCTCTGCTGTGTTTGAAAGATGCAAACACGTGGGTGGTGTCTACCTTAGGCTGATTCAAAGAAAATAATTGTCATGTAGAGGGTAGACCCTCCGCTATTTTGCTATTTTTGGCAGCGGGTTTTAGACATAGGAGCAGTGGTTAAAAAAGGCAGTAAACACAGTACACACAGGGCATGCTATGTAAAGAAAGAGCGCAGACCCCTTTAAGAGGAACTGAACTCTGGAAGCTGTGCCCAAAAAAGGCAGGCACAGGGCCGAGGACTAGTCATCAGTATTACCTGTGGTCTCCCTGCAGCTGATCTTTGTACTGGGTCTCTGTGTGGTGGCAGAGGCAGGGTTTTGCTTCCCTTTATTAGAATCTCCAGCTAGGAGAACAGTGAGCGGCACGGTAGTACAGTATTGACGCAATAGTGGCATCACCAATTCTTTTGAGAGTAGCAATCACAGGCAGAGGTGTCTGAAGGTGCCCATACACCTTACGATTATCGTACGATAATCGCATGCGATCGACTTTTCGTACGACAATCGTAAGGTGTGAATGTAGTGCCCGACCGACGGTACTGTACAATCGTACGACGTTTGACGGTCAAGCATGTTGGAAAACTTTGGTCGATCGTACGATTTTCGCATGGTTGGTGGCGTTTCCGTCCGTCAAAAAGTCGTACCATAAACACTGCTCATGCGCAAACGAAAATAGGTGCGGTCTATTACCGCAAATCGTCCAGGTGTATGTTTTTACCTACCGCTGATTGAACCTTGCGATAATCGGTGTCTGGATGGGACCGCCGTACGACAATCGTACGACAGTTCGATCATCGGACGAAAAGTTTTGTCCGATAATCGCAAGGTGTATGGGCACCTTTAGACCTCACTTGCCTCACATGTATATCAAGCTGTATGCACAAGAGTGCCTAGGTACCCTCACATACCAGGAAGTGCACTACTGTTTTTTTACAATAAATTCCAGGCAATATTTTTCAGGCTGTGGCTTCGAAACAGCTTACATATTTAGATGTTCCTTATAACAAAGTAAATCTTTACTTTTAGGTCCATTGTAAATCTTTACTTTTAGGTCCATTACTTATGCTCTGTGATGGCATCCTAGGCAATTATGTTACTGATTTATGGAAAAAATCCTGTTATGGTAATTATGACTCATTCAGATTGTACTGCTAGAATACTAATGTGATGAAAAAATGTACCTGTGTAGGTCAGTCAAAGCCATATTTTTAATAGATCTTTTGAACTTGCAGCATGACTCAAGAAGTATTTGTTTTTACATAGCCTTGCATTTCAGAGCTACAGTGGGAACTAGGTTGGTGTGTGCATACATTAGAAGCGGTGACTTGTACTGTTTTAACCAACATGTTTTTTCTTGTTTTCAGGAGTACCTGTTTTGTGTTGCAGCTGCATTTGGATGCTTTTACTATTAAGAAGACTCGATCTAATATAAATATTGACTTGGATATTTATTGTTTTTTCATTGTGCAATATTGTGTCCCATAAGAGTTACAACATAGTAACAATTATGTAAATACGTTTAGTTTTGTATCATTTAAAAAAAATATGTAAGAAAAACCAATGCATTTTCATCATGTGCTCATTTCAATTTCAGTTTATATCTAAAAAACAAAAGCTAAGCCTGTCTGAGTTCTATGTACACACAGCACAACATCCTAATGCATGCCAACACTGAACACCATTCCAGTGGATGCAAGAACACTGCAAACCATCCTATTGCATGCGCACACTGCACCTCATCCTAGTCAATGCGCACACTGCACCTCATCCTAGTCAATGCGCACACTGCACCTCATCCTAGTTAATGCGCACACTGCACATCATCCTAGTGCATGTGCACACTGCACATCATCCTAGTGCATGCGCACACTGCACCCTATTCTAGTGCATGCGCACACTGCACATCATCCTAGTGCATGCGCACACTGCACATCATCCTAGTGCATGCGCACACTGCACATCATCCTAGTGCATGCGCACACTGCACCCTATTCTAGTGCATGCGCACACAGCACACCATCCTAATACATGAGAACAATGCCCACCACCCTAGTTTTTGCACACGCTGCAAACCACCTTAGTGTATGCGCACACCACCCTAACACATGCACACTCTGCCTACCATGCTAATGCATGGACAAAATGCACACCATTCTGGTGCCACCACAAACAATACCCTCTGTTCCCTACATTTGCCAGCCAGAAAAACTGCAAGTAATTTGACATACTATGCCTTGGAATTCAATGATTTTAAATGTATCTCGCTACATAACTGTACATAAAGTATATAACTGTACTGGGTTACAAACAATATAACTAGGGGACCTGGAGGCACAAAAGCATGGTGTGTAATTCTCAGTCACCAGCAAGCTCTTTTCAGCTATCATCGTATCTACAATTAGGCCAGCGTTGCAGTATACTGTCTCATGGCTGCTGAGCATTAATGCTGGAAAAAAGCAAATTAATATGAATATACTGGTATAGTTTAAAGCTGTAGCAAAATGGCACTTATAAAAAATATTCCAGACAAGTTACCGTACATGCCATTTTTGGCATTTCCACTTTAAATACTGTATATACTGCTGCTTACTGACAGAGCAATGTAGGATTACTGGCCCAGAAAGGAGACACAGGGGTCTTTCTGTTTCCTAGACGAGAGGATGGAGCAATTCATTCACACTTGCCACCAGACTACAAGTCCTGCAAGCACTAACTGTTACATTTATTATGTTCAGTAATAAAAATAAAAGCACACATTTTTGCTTCTTTTTAATCGTGTAAATAGGAAATGTATATAAATATTTCAGATTTATTTCTGAAGTGAAAAAGAGTCTCAGACCCAAACTGCTTATATATGCTGGTGCTTAAGGGGTATAAGCACATATACAGTGGGAATATTTCTAATTTATTTTATCTTCTGCAGCCAGAGGGTGGAGCTCTAATCAAGTCTAAGTGTCAGCTGAAGTCTCGGAGAGCAGCTTTTAAGACCAGAGGTCATTGATGAATAGATACCCAGGACAAATGTAACAGCCACGCCATATTTTGGTTAACTTAGCAATAACTCTATGACTCATTTGCAAGCCTAAATCATTTTTATTTATTTTTTAAACACCATATAAGGCCTTTTCTGGCAGCCTGTTATTAAAATAATGTTTTTTCTGTTTAAATTATTTATTATTTCATTAATGAATGCCTCAATACTTACTGACTGGTAACTGCTGAGAATCAGCTGTTACCAGCATTACAAAGCCTGATATAACTTGTCACGTACAGTGTACGTGGCCAGTCATATAGGCAGAAAGTGCCGGGACGTACACTGTACGTCTCCCGTCACGAAGGGGTTAAATACCACCAAAAGAAAGCTCTATCTGTCCCCAAAAAATTGTATAAAATTCATTTCAGTTCAGCATTGCATGATGAAATAAATGTCAGTCAAAGTACCGCAGCGCTGAATACTGAAAAATGGCCTGGACAGGAAGGGGGTCTAAACACCTGGTATTCAAGCGGTTAAAGTATTTGCAATACCGGACTGGGAGAGACAGTGGGGACTGGGAAGAATTTGTATTGCATTTACATTACATGTCACTGAACAGTGTTGAGTGATACGCTGTGTGATTGCAATACACATGTTACTAATACATCCATGTACTTGTACTACCTGATAAATCATACATTGAGATTTAAATAAAAAGTATTCTTGTATGATTTAGTAATGATTTATATATTTATGTATCCGCGACTCTCGCTGCCTGATTTTAACACCCCTGCAGTTATGTTACATTTGGCACATTTCCTCTGTACTACTTACTAAATCATACAAGAATACTTTTTATTTAAATCTCAATGTATGATTTATCAGGTAGTACAAGTACATGGATGTATTAGTAACATGTGTATTGCAATCACACAGCGTATCACTCAACACTGTTCAGTGACATGTAATGTAAATGCAATACAAATTCTTCCCAGTCCCCACTGTCTCTCCCAGTCCCCACTGTCTCTCCCAGCCCCCAGCATTCATGAACTGTAAAAATGTGCCCGTGCCTGCGCTCTCGGTCTCCTATATTTACATAGGAATGGGTGGTGCTTGTTACATATGAATAAGCCGCGACTCATTCTCCCCAAAAACATGTCCGCGCGTCGCTAGAGCGTTCGGGTTTCACTTGAAGAAAAGGTGGCATCCCTAATGGTATAGCTGGCCCAGTGCTACTTTGAGACAATCTCTCATAGACCCCTTACACGTTGTATATACATTGTGAGTGATTTTAAGGAAACATTTTAATAAAGGATAATAAAATGAATTGAATTTCTTCAAGTGTTGTTGTGGTACCACTAAAGTCCAGCACATTGTTCTGGTTTTATAATGTCTTGATAATTCAGATGTGGTACTCTAACCACCAGTTACTTTATACTTAATACCAAGGCCAACCCTACTCCACTTTGAGATGTCATTTCAACTAATTTTCTTGTGACAACTACATTTCATTTCTCAAAAGGGGACACAGACAGACAGAGCCTGTAACCATTCCCACTCTATCTAAAACGTTAACAATAAATAGGTTGGCGTTCAGGTAGAACACAAATACTGCTGGCAAAACGTGTAACACTGCACTGGCAGATACAGGCGGTATTTAAAGGCAATAAATATGAAAGCGGTTTCCAGGAGTTGACGCGGAACCCTGCAGCGTGTTCTATGTTCCCGGCGGACTGCTATTCGGACGTCCAGCTTTAGCGCTGAGTCGGAGCTGTACTTCCGGGCGGTGCTGTCACAATCTAATAGCCCCGCCCGGAAAGTGGACACGGAGACACCGGGGAGGTGAGCTGGGAATGTGTTTTCTGTTGTGTTTTGTAGGTTGGCTGCTGACAGTTACCCGCACTTCTGCAGCTCACAACTGCTGATTGACGTGCCCACGGCTGTGTAGTGTGGTAGCACCGTGTAAGTCAGATATCAGTACAGGGCACCTATGGAGAGGTACGGAATGTGAGTGATGGGTGTCTGAGTGGAGTAGTGAAGTTACCATAGTACTATACTAGGATATCATCCTGACACGGACGGGTTTGGGAAAGCAGGGGTGAAGTGATTCGTGTAAGAACTAGCCAGGGTTATCTTCATTCTCTGATCTACATTGGGGACAGGCAATCTGTTTCCTCCAGTCACGGTGTCCTATCTCCTGTCCCCAAGGCAGGGCAGTGATCAATGGAAAGAGCAGCCTTTGCCCTGACACGTCAGCCAGTTTGGGTGTATGGAGTGATAAGGAGCGATCCATTGACCCTTGTCCTAAAGAGGGAGTCATGGGGTCGGATGAGTTATGGGTCAGCACTGCTCCTTCTGCCCTTTATGTCAGTGCTGTTCTAAAGGGCACCAGATCTGAGCAACATGATCTGTAACACCGAAAGAAACCTGTACAAAGTTTACAACTTGAGCTTCTGCCATCCTGGAGACGTGTATTCTAAATAACAGAGGCTGTATTGTCATTGTCCTCAGAAATATTTGTCTGTAGGATGTGTCACAGCTCATCCAAGGGAGGAGGTTGCTGCACAAGTATGTGTTTGATTTGACTTGCTGCCTAATGTTATCCTTATGTAGCACAGTCATGTATAGCTACTGAAAGGTATTTAAGTGCACAAGAAGGACAGTTTCTCTTCATTGGGGATCTCAAGTTCTAAAAAGCCGTGGGGAACTTTAAAGGAGAACTATGAGGTGAGTGCTTTTCACTCACCTCATAGTTCTAGCCGACCTGTGACAATGAGACTGTCACAGGTCGGCTCAGTAGATCGGGAGGTGAGCGAACACATGCCGGTGTTCGCTCACTTCTTAATCCTGTCATGGCTCTCTGCCGTCTCTGCTCTCATAGTGACTTGAAAAATTTTAGGGCGTTTCACCAATCAGTCATAAATTCCACCAGTCAGCATGACCGGACTATAGCCTTGCAATTTATGTTGACATTTTTTGGGGACATATAGAGCTTTCTTTTGGAGGTATATAATCACCACTGGGGGGGTTATTTTTTACTATATAATGTAAAAAGTACCGTAAATGTTAAAAAAAAACCCACAAAGTTTCTCACACAACTTTATTGCTATTACATGCGCGGCTAAGAAGCCCCCTATGTGATAGCCAATTTACATGACAGGTCCTCTTTATGGAGACATCAGGGGTCTTGTTGGAGTGCTCAATCTTTTTTTCTGCAGCCCCAGCACTCAATGAACAAGATCCACTTAGTACAGAGGCTTCATGTTCATTCATAAATCGAGGAGATAGTAAACACATACTGTGTCCACAATCATGAATGAACAGGAAGTGATGTAGAGCACTTCCTGTTCATTCATAATTGGGGACATAGAATTTGAATTTGTTATTTACAAACATCGTACTGATCTTTTAGAGGTAGGCCAATGTGGAGGGAGTTGCAATAGTCAAGACGAGATGTAACAAGGGAGTGGATGAGTCATTTTGCGGTTTATTTGGTGAGGAAGGGGCGTATTTTGGAGATGTTACGAAGGTGAAGGCGGCAGGATTTGGATAGTGATTGGATGTGGGGAAGAAAGGTGAGGTCCGAGTCAAGTTGAGGGAGAGCTGTGGGAATCGGAGGGGACATAGAATGCCACATGCAATGGGCACCCAGCAGAAGAGACGGTTGCAGAGCTGATGCTGTGGGCACCGGCTGCAGGAGTCTGTGTCACCCTGATCCCCGCTGGGAGCAGTGGGGATCGGAGGGGCGACAAAGCCGAGGAAACGCCAGCTCCTGGCGGGTAGGAGAGAACTAGAGGACCCAGACCAACTAATTGATCATGAGAATCGTTGACAACAATTCTTGTCACTTAATCGATTAGTTGGTTTGAGCCGTACTATTAACCTAGCGGCATTTTTTTGGAGTGGGAGGAAACCTACACAAGCTCAGAGTGAATGTGCAAACTCCATGCAGATAATGTCCTGACATTTGGTCTGAGGACCCCAGTGCTGTAAGGCAGAAGTACCAACCACTAATCTCCTGCGCTGCTGCAATATGTTGCTTTGCTCTGAGAGAGCAAAGTACAGGTTTACTTAAAACTTCTGCAATGTAGTTTTGATTTGACCCCAGACAGTATATACTACTTATTGCAGAATAATCTGTGACAGTGCCAAGGTCAGCCTGCGGTGGTCAGGATATATGTAGGATTGATCCTTAGTTCAGTTCTGTCCTTTGAACTTGTCAGCAGTTTCTTATTAGGATTGAACAAAGTGCAGATAGTGTCATTTATACAAGCATGTGGCAGTGAATAAGGACATCTCGGCCGGGGAAGACACAAAGGTTTGAATTTTTGCTCCAGACATCCTTATTTTGATGACATTTGTGCTGAAACAAAATCCTATCTGTAGCTTGTTAAGAACAGCAAGGAACTTGAGGTCTTGTATGATTTTGTAGGTGACATTGATGTCCTACAGCCAGTGATTTCTCCTGCTAGGTTGTAAGGTATGTTTTATGTTAGAGTCAAATAGCAACAAGAGTAGACAAACATGATTTAGCTTTTATTCTGGAAAGGTTCATTATTAGATTCAAGCTCAAGTTTCATTTAGAAGTGTTTTGTGTTATACAGCAGCAGCGACATCATTTACCTCTAATGAAGTGTGTCATACATCCCGCTGGCTGATGGTTCCTGTGGAAATCCTCCCTTCAGTGTTGCTGTATCCCCTTCACAGGGGTGGACTTCCTGCTGGCTGATGGTTCCTGTGGAAATCCTCCCTTCAGTGCTGCCGAATCCCCTTCACAGGGGTGGATTTCCAGCACTGTGTGAGTTAACTGCTTCTGCTGTAATAGTGGAGGAATCAGCACTGCTTCCCCCCCCCCCCCATTT